CTACTCTCACACGGCCAGCACGAGCTCTGAAGGCCCAGCAGTCACCAATCTTGTTTCCACCCGAGGCTTCAGCAGAGGTTTTCTTCCTCCTTGAATCAGAGTAGCACAGGGGCTGAGGTCACTGGGCTGGAGGTGTAGTCGGTGGGCAGGTAGAACGATGGCTAAAATGCCATTGGATATAGACAGAGACGCTTCATAGACGGGTGACAGGCTGCCTTATTGATAGGTGGTAGAGCTCACTACAGACATGATGGATATAAAGAATGCATTGTTAATAAGTGATGACAGAATGTGCTGTAGATCATGGATAGGTGTTCAGATATAGACAGGTGATAGATACAAAGAACATGTTGTAGGTAGAGTATACATAGCTGTTTAGATTAGGTAGATAACAGTGTCAAGAATGCATTGTCTTTTACTTTGCTCTGTATTCGTACTGCACATGCTCCTTCCTTGGTCGGCCTTGTGCGTTCATTCGCAGCAGAGCTGACGGAAGCAGGAGTGTGACTGACACTCCTGCAGAGACGCTGCCAGCAAGCCAGAGACATGTGCTCTTCTCCTGGTCTTTGAGCATCGGGACGGTCGTCCGGCAAGACCTGTGTAAGGTCACGAGGTTATGCCCGCTGCACGGGGCTGTGGTGGCCTCTGGCCCAAGCGCCGGCCTCTGGAGCATCGCTGTTCTCCACAGCCCAGGGCGAGGTGCTGGGGGAGAGGGGAGGCATTCCTTCATGGAAGATAAAAATCAGAGAAGATAGCAACACTGACTACTCAACAGCTAAGGATACCGTGTCTTCCGCCCTGGGTCACTTAACTTCCCCGTGAATCAAGGTTAAGCATTTATTCAGTTTTTTTGTGGTTGTTGTTTTTGTTTTTAAGAAAAATCTTGAAGGAAAGCAGCTTGGCTGCAAGTCTGCAGCTCTAACTTGAGTGGTTCCCATTTAGCCAGTGCTTCCTCAGTGCCCGGCATTGTTCTCTGCCTTGGTTTATCCAAACTCTAGAACTGTCCTCAGTTCTGCAATGCAGGTGCTGCCGTTACCCCATTTTGCGGGGAGGAAACTGAGGAACGGGGCAGTGGGCAGCTTCTGGTGTTCTGCAGCCGCGCTCTGGGGGCTGAGCTGGGGATGACTTTGTGCGCTCCAGTGTCTCCTGTTCCCCTGTCTCTTCCAGGCCCCACTGCCCCTGTGCCTGCTGTGCCCTGCCGTGACACTGTGGCGGGGGCCGCTGTCTGCTGCATTCCCCTGCACTTCCCCAGGAGCTGCATGTCCGTGTCTCTTCCCTACAGCCCGTGTGCCGGTCGCACCAGCCCCAGCACCGCTTGCTGATCATGACCATAGGTTACCGCCATCCCGTCCGACAGCCGCTCTGGTGCGGGGCCCACTCTGGCTGACGCAAGGGGGCTCGTTCTGGGTGGCCAGGCTCAGCCGGCCCAGGGAACTGTGCCGGGCGAAGGGGCAGGGACCACAGAGCCAGGAGGGGACTGCTTCTGGGTTGGGGCCAGGGCTGGACTTTGAGAGCTGCAGGGGGACGGGACAGGGGCCGAGGAGGAGGAGGAGGAGGAGGAGGA